GCAAGTGCCTTTCACCACTGAGTCCTCTCAGTCCCCCACCCCATGTATGGCTGCGAGTCTGGTTTTGGTCGTTGTACGTTCTACAAGAAAAAATTTAATTGTTGCCCAACTTCGCGATTCTGACTTTCACATCTGGAACTGCAACCAATCGTTTAAAAAGCTGGGACCAGAGCTGGTGAGATGTCTCAGTGGGTAAAGCCACCTGGTGTCAAGCCTGACGACCCGAGTTTGGTTCCTGGAACTAGCATGGTAGAAGAAGAGAACCTAATCCCTCAGGTTGTCGTCCGGTCTCCACGATGCTGCTGTAGCACACATGTGCCTTCACATACATGCTCACAAGTGTGCACAAAATGTAATTTTAGAAATTCAAAATAAGAAAAGCTAGACTGGGCATAGTAACACACATTTTTAATCTCAGCACTCAAGAGGAAGAGGCAGTGAACACAGCATGGTCTGTCTAGCTGGGACTACACAGTGAGACTTTTGTCTCTAAAAAACAAAAGGAAGGAAGGAAGAAAAGAAAGAAAAAACTGGGACCTAGAGAACACTCTTACATATACCAATTTAAAAGAGTTAGCATATAGAGAACCTTATAAGCTACCTTATTTTATCTGAAATATGTAATTTATTTTAGATTGGTAATTTTAAATTCAAGGATGTCAGATACTTTTGAAAGTATTAGACCCCAAGAAGCCAACTTACTACATGAATGCATTTGATTTATAACACTTGTAAGAGTCATTTAAGCGCATAAAATGATTTTGCAAGCATGAATTGTCTGTCCAGTAAATTACTTGAAGTGCTTGGGAGAAGCAGGGCACTATTATGCCAATCAGATTTATAATATCAGAATTGATTTAATTACTTCAGATAGTCCCTGACTTAAAATAATTTGACTTCAGGCTTCCAGTTTTATGGTGATGATTTTGAGAACGTGATAGGTATTCAGTACAAAATCAACTTTCAATTTTAAGTTTTGGTTATTTCTTGGACTAGCAACTTATGGTAAGATACTCTTTTGGGATTTCCACCTATAGGCTAATAATGTAAGTGCTCAGAGCATATTAAAGGAAGGGTCAGCTAATCTACATTACTCAGTGATTTAGCTGTATTAAACACATTTCAGGGCCAGGAAGCATGGTAGTGCATGCCTGTAATTCCAGCCCTCAGAAGGCAGAGGCAGCTGGGTCTCTGTGAGTT